AAAAAAAAGCTGTCTGCTAGGAATTCAGGAGACCTGGATTCTAGCCAGTCCTAGCACTACCAAAAACTCCCTGTATGACCTCAGACAAATCACTTCCCCTGTCTGGGCCACAGTTTGCTCCCTTGCAAAATGAGGGAAATGAATTAGGATTGTCTCTGAGGAGGTCCCTTCTTGCTCTGACATTGTATTCTTATGTCCTAAGGACCCTTTCAGCTCTGACCTTCTGATTTCTGATCCATTAAAATCAGCAAAGGATATCTGTCCTCAAACTGAGATGACTTTGACATCAGCAGGTTGTAGCGCCTGAACCAGGCACAGTTGCTCACCTTCTTACCAACAGAAAATCGTGGGTGGGTTGAAGAGGCTGAACCTGGGGCCAGGGTCACAGCTCATCAGGACTAGATGACCTCTGAGATCTCATCCTCCTCCGAGAGTCTTCCATTTTGAACCCCCACTCTTGGTTCCATGAGTGGACCAGAGTTATCACAGAAATGCCTGACATTTCTCACCTGAATCCCCCAACCTCCTGCAGCCTCCTCTATGTCTGAAGCACTGGGACGAATGCTAATAACATTCCCAGAAGGTTAAATTAAAACAGTGTGATTGCTGAGCAAAGGCAGAGAATGGATAAGCATGCTGTGTCCAAAGACTAATTAGGGAGAAATGGGAGCTTAAAGATGGACAGGCCCTTAGAATACAGAATGTCAGAGTGAGAAGGGCACGTAGAACATGGAATGGCAAGGTTGGAAGGGCCCTTAGAACATGGAAGACTTAGGTTAGAAGAGCCCTTAGAAGGCACTTAGGCCAATCCCTTCACTCTACTGAGGCCAGAGAAGTGAACTGACTTGTTTTTGTCCACATAAAAAGTCATTTGAAGATCTGGGAGTAGATTGACTTGGAGCTAACTGGTGGAGAAGGGGAAATGAGGTCAGAAGTAAAATAAGGTCAGATGGGCCTTATTCAGGTAGAGGGGCTTGAAGGACATGCTGAGGACCAGTGTCTTGATCCTATCAGGAATGCACAGCCAATGTCCTATTTAACATAGTGAGAAGAGATGTAGTGAGATGAGGTGCAACATACGAGAGTGCATGCAGGGCTGATACCACAGAGTCTAGGTAGTGCTACCTCACAGTAAATTAGGATCAGGACCAGAGGGCCAGGGAAATAACTGTTTCTGGATGTAAATGGAAAGAAGGGTATATAATGTAGTGGGGAAAATCGTTATGGAAACCAAATCAAGTCTCCTCACAGCTCTATACAGGTGGAAAGGCCAAAGCTCCTATGAGTTCAAACACCATCTCTATTCAGATAACTCTAAAATCTACATATCTAGCCCTAATGGGATTGGATTCCTGAATTCCTGGAATTCCTGAATATGGACTGGTATTAACTCACCTTTGAAAACTCTACCTTCCCACCAAGCTGAACAGGTAGCTATGCCCCAACCTTGATCCTCCAACTCTATCTACCATACATTTGCACAAGTCATGTCCCTCAACTTCACCCCTGAAGAAATCTTGCCTTTGTTCAAGGCTCAATGCAGGTGTCACCTCCCTGATTTCTTTCCTCTGTCCCCAGCTGTTCATCTCTCCTCTTCTCTTCCTCTCCTCTCCCTCTTCCCTCTTCTCTCTTTAGTTCTCTCATCTCTCCTTTTTCCCTCTTCTCTCTCCTCCTCCTCGTCCTCCTCCTCCTCCTCCTTCTTCTTCTTCCTCTTCCTCTTCCTCTTCCTCTTTCTCTCTCTCATTATTCTTTTTTTTTTTTTTTTGCATGTAGTACCCTCTCCAATACAATGCAAACACCTCAGGGGTAGGCATTATCCCCAGTGACTAGTCCAGAGCCTTGTATATAGTTGCTTTCTTCAGCTGCTGAATACAGGTACATGGGTGTATGAGCCATGTAAACACACAGCAGAGGAGTTAGAGTAGGGGTTCTGAAGTTAGATGGGTTTGACCTTCAGTTCTGACAGTTAACTGTGTGACCTGAACAGCTACTCTGAAGCCAGGCTTGATAGGATCACATCAAAAAATCAGAGAGAGCCCTCAAGATCATCCAGTCTCTCTCACTGACACCTAGTGAGGTTCAGTCCTCATAGAAGCTCACTATGCTACTAATCACTGGAACCATGTAAGCAGCAAGGGCAGCATATGAATCCAGAACCTGACTCCAAAAGCAGGTATTTTCCCATTAGGCCCCAGTGCCTCTCACCTCCTTGTTTCCTCATCGGCAAAATGGGGATAATAATACTTATACAACCTACATCTAAGGATTGTAGTGAGCTTTAGAAAAGTGAGCCATAATTATAATAATTATCATTATAATCTTTTAATTATGATTACAACCACACACTCACCCCTCCCTGGACCACAGAGGGCATCTCCCCAGAGACCTGCCCTGTAAAACATCCCAGCTCTCGGGGTAGAGATGGGCAGGGAGGCCAGCAGAGTTCCTGACTCAGGCAGAAGTTCAGTTTCCAAAATAGGAAGCACATTTGGCCTTTTCCACATGAGCCACGGTCCACTATCACCAGCCAGGCCCGGCGAGGGACACCAGGCAGAGCGGCAGACTGAAGAGCACGTGCATGGAGCACAGGGGATCTCAACCAAGAAAGGCCTCACTCGAGAGCCCAAAGGTGTCAGGCAGCATGGTCTTAGGATGCTGGGGCCACACTGGGTGCTCTAATAGCTGGGCCCTGTCACTCCCTGATTAAGTACAATGTATGCTGTGAGGCTAACAGGCAAACACGTAGGAGGAATTTTCCCTCACACCAACCCTTTTGAGGTCTTTCACCATAGGGTAGTCCTTACGAGAATGGCTAGCCACGGAAAATTTTATTCAACAAATCCCTGGGAGACACGCTATCCCAGGCTAGCCCCTGAGAGGTCTGTTATGCCAGGCTTGCCCCCTCTCCAAGATGATGTGAGATTATCTAACCCACTAATCCCAGATTCATTCCTTCAAAGTCTGCTGCCCACAAATCAGTGGCTATCAGTGCAGCACAATCAGCTATAACTTAGGTTCTCCAACACATCAGCTCAGGCTTCAGCTTGCCAATGTATAAAATGCGGATAAATGAGTAAAGATCCATTCTGAATGCAGCATCAGGCAGCACCATCCATTTCACACATTCCTGCAGCACACAGTCACCCCGAGCAGCTGGCCTCCATTCTAGCTTCCATAGAGTCCACTCCACCAATAATAAAACTCCCTATCTCTGTAACAACTTAAGATTTAATCAGTTGACAAGCATTTGTCCATCTCTCACAAATGTGCCAAGCACTCAGAAAGGGTTGTCATCAAACAATTTTGTGCAAATAGGTAGGCAGTATAAGTTTTATTATGCCCATTTTAGAGATAAGGAAACTGAGGTCCCACAGATGAAGTGATTTGTCCTAGGCCTAACAGCCAAGTTAAGTATTGGCACTGAGATACAAACTCAGGTCTCCCGGCTCTAGATTCAGGGTACTTTCTACCACATTGCAAATAAAATCAACAAATATTTTATAAATTGCCTATTACACACAAGCTGTTCCTACTTATCTGTCTCATCATAATAACAACTGCTATTTGTATAGTGCTTTAAACTTCGTAAAGTGTTTTACATGGGTTATATCATCAGTTATTTGCAATCTTACGTAGTCTATAGGCAGGTATGTGGTTTAGTAGATAAAACACTGGGTCTAGAGTCAGGGAGAACTGAGTTCAAATCCAGCCTCTGAAACTTACTACCTATGTGTTCCTGGGCAAGTCACTTAACCTCTGTTTGCCTCAGTTTCCTCATCTGTCAATTGGTTACCTCCCAGAATCGTGTGAATCAACTGAGATGATATTTGTAAAGTGCTTAGCACAGTGCCTAGCACACAGTAGGTGCTTAATAAATGCTTATTCCATCCATTTCATTTGATCCTCACAAAAAGCTTGTGAGGATTTTGGTGTGATTATTGTCATTTTTATTTTATAGATTGAGAAAGCAGAGGTTAAGCAACTTTCCTACAGTCCCGAAGCTAATGTCAGAGGTGAGGATGAGAAGACAGGTCTCCTGACTCCGTGTGCAGCCCAGCCCTCTATCTACTAAGACACACACAGCAAGTCCTAAAGTCGAGTTGCCCTGATCCTAGTATAAGTCTGGGTACCTGCCTCGTGGCTCAATTGCCACAGACCTAGGAGGGACACACACGTTCTGAAAATGTGCAAAAAGTAACAGGAACAGGACAGACAAGTCAGCTGCAGAAAGGAAAGAGGTCTACACAGCAGAAGATCTTTATATGCTTTCCTAGCCAAAAGGGCACAATTTTTGGACTATATGCTGCTTTTGAATTATCCAAGGTTCCCAATCCATCACACATGCAAGAACGAGACTTAACAGTCCTATTCAGCTCCACTAGGTTTTCTTTTTCTTTTTCTTTCTCTTCTTCATTCAGCAAAGCACTGATACTCTCAGTTCATGAATCTCCACTCACTTCAGAGGTCTCTAAAACAGAGCTCAGCCCCCCGATCTCTGCTTCATCCCCATGACCACGGGTGTTCCAGGATGCATCAGGACTGCTTCTCTCACCCTCACCCCTACTCCCTGTGTCTCCTTCACTACCCCTTTCCTATCTCAGAACTCAGCCAGAGGACCCTGTTGCTTTCATTTGATTCTGCTGCTGCCTCAAAACCCAGGAAGGAAAGGGAGGGGGGATTCAGACATTCTAGCCAGGACTACATAATCAAGGAGCTGGAAGGTTAAGAACAGAAGAAAACTGAGGCCCAGATAAGTTAATGACCTGCCCAATGACAAGCAGCTAGGTAGTAGCAGAATTAGAATATGACCTCAGGGTTTCTGATTTTAGACCCATTGATCTTTCTATCTGTTCTCTATCTCACTGATTGATTCCAGTTCCCAACTCCCATACTCCCAGAAGGAAAGGACCACTCGGAATGTCCATCCCACAGACCACCCTCCCTTGGAACCCAGAAGGGCTCAGGTATTTGGGCACAGGATTTCACCATTCCTAGCTTACCCAATCCTGAGAGTAAGGGACCAACAGTCATCTCCATCCCTCTCCAGCTCCAAAGGCCAGCTGCTGCTGGGAGCTTGTGGCCTGGGCTAGCCTTCCTCACCCCTGGCCAGTTTCCCTCTTCGGTCCTGAGCAGCACCCACCACGCTGGGGCACGCTTCGGGGCTGCTATTGCCTGAGGTGGTAAACAACTCCCATCCTCCCAGAAGCTTCCTGCAGGAAGCAGGAACCCGAGCAGGGACGGATCCCACGGCTCTCCGGGGATATTCAATAGCCCGAGCAACATATTTCCGAGGCTATTTATAGAGTCGTACAGGCATCACGTGGCCAGGCCCCAGTCTTCCCCATTAGGATGGGGTGGCTCGGATGGGCTTGTTTTGAAAGCAGGAGACGGCTAAGGCCCCGATGATAAACACCGGGCCCCCTCACTGCTCACCCACACCTGTTTTCTATATTTAGAGTCAGGCATCTGCAAGCAGGCTTGCTGGGAGGAAAAAACAGAGCAAAGGAGCTCTGGAGGCCAAAGCAGACAGGAGAGGGGGCAGACAGCAGTAAATGAAGCGCCGGCGGTGCCCCCCACCCCCCCACCCCACCCCCCCGGTCCACGGCAACAAACTCCAGACCTTGCCTATGGGGTATGGGCAACAGGATTATGGGGGCAGGACAGCAAAAGACTTGAGAGCAAAGCTACAGAAAGCAGCAGGTGGGAGTCCACAAACCTTGGGGGCTGTCGACTGGGACCTCTGGCATGCCTGGCAGAAAGAGCCCTGGCTAAGCAAGAGAGAGAGCTGGATTCCAGGCAAGCCTATGCCCCTGAGTGCTGTGTGAACCGAGGCAGATCACTGGCTGTCTCTGAGATAGCCTCCCTCCTTGTCTGTGAAATGAAAGAGCTGGGCTAGAGATTCTCTAAGCTCCCTTTGAGCTCTACAAGACTCTAGAACTCTGCATAATTTGCTTCCCCAGACACCATGTGAGGCTATAAAGTGCTAGAGAGAAAAGAAAAAAAAAACCCTAGACTTCCTGACTCCCATCATGCTGAGCCAGGATGCTTCTCTTGAGGTCAGGGGCTGTTAATCTTCTTTGTGTCATGGAAGGAAGGAAACAAGCATTTATTAAGTACCTACTGTGTTCCAGGCACAGCACCAAGCAACTTCTCATAGGATCCTCACGATAACCCTGAGAGGTAGGTGCTATTATGATACCCATTTTACAGTTGAGGAAACAGGCAGAGAGAGGTTAAGTGGCTTGCCCAATGTCACACAACCAGTAAGCATCTGAGCCCACATGTGAATTCAGATTTTCTGACTCCAAGCCCAGTGCTCAATTCACTACGCCACCTAGCTGCAGTCAATACACATTTATAAAGTATCTACTATGTGCCAGACACTGCTAGAGCTTTGTTGTTATTGTTTGTCCTTTGTTGTCAAAGAGGACCATGACATCAAGAAGATGTCATGAATTGCAAGTGGACTGGACTTAAGTGAGGCAGGGCTGTGTAAAGTCACCAGCTTCACCCTCTCCCCGATCTGGGTCCAGTGGCAAGATATAAATCAGGACAATTGGAGATGGCCCCAGATGAAGTGGGAGGCCTTGGCCTTTTTAAGCTAAGGTCTTTCCCAGGTGTCTCTGAGGCAACACCCATTCAGTGACTAAGGCTAGGGAAAGAATAGCCTATCTTTTACCTAGTCAAAAAAAATCAATCTAGGGGTGAAGACCCTCATGGTTTCTGACCAAAACAGAAACAATTGCCATTTACACTCACTCTGAGCCATCAGAATCCAAACAATGACCAAGTGAGGCTTGGGCTGGGACCTATTGTTGGCCAATCAATGAAGAGCCAGAATGATTTGGGTTTAAGGCACGGTCCATAAAAAAGAAATCTAGCCCACAACCCCAAGATATCTTGTGAGGTTTCAGCAATCAAAATTAATATTCCTTTGGGTAGAGTACCTGCAGGTAAGGGCACGATTCCCTATGTGGACAGAGGGAAAGGAAAAAGAGAGGACGGAGAGGAGGGAGAGGAGGGAGAAAAGGGAAAAGAGGGAAGGAAGGAAGGAAGGGAGGGAGGGAGGATCTGCTTTGCTCAACTGGAACTGGCCAGTTGGGTACCCAATGGGGCAGCTACTACTACTCATAGGTTGTTGTTTGGCCTTCATTCTCTAAGAGGACCCCATGACATTAGGAAGGTGATGTCATGACTTGCAAGTGAATTGGATTTAAGTGAGGCAGGGCTATGCAAAGTCACCAGCCTCACTCTCACCTCCAGAGCCATCTGGGTCCAGTGGCAAGATACAAATCAGAACAACTGGAGATGGCGCCCGTGCTAAGGCTGGGAATACTTAGAAAGATAAAAGAGAGTCCCCGCACTGAAGAAGCTTACACACTACGATATCTATGGATCCCTTCTTGGAATCATGTTGGTTTAGCCTTCTTTTTTTCCCTTAAAAAACAGTTAGAGATTAGTAATTATTAAGATGTCGTTTTTTCCTCTATGCAAGTTCTCCCTACCCCAAAATCTATCCATAAACCTCATGACCCTGCCATTAAGAAACCCTGCTATAGATAATCCATGAGTGACTCAAACAACAAATTTGGGCTGATTGCTAAGTCCCTTTCCCTCTTTGAATCTCAGTTTCCTCATCTGTGTCATACTTGTGTACTATCAACATTGAAAGGTAGTCAGGAGGACAACCCTTTGTAAACTTTAACCTGCCCCCAAAGCGTGCATCATTATGGGGTTAAGTGTCAACTATCATTCTCATTACTGTTACTGAATTTGCTCAGCCCCTTTGTGGGGGTGGGGGAAGAGTCCAAGGCTTTCAACAACACAATTGAGAACCAAGAGGAAGATTTTTTTGAAAAGCCACCAACAAGCCAATAACATTTTCTTACTCAATCCTCACAAATTCTTTGAGAGGTGGGTACTATTGTTATCCCCATTTCAGCAATTAGGAAACTGAGGCAAAGTGATTTGCCACACACAGCCATTGTCTGAGGGAAGTGGGATTCAAGCCTCTTCCTACCTCCAACTCCAACACTCGGCCTCTCTCACTCCCATCAAGCCCTCTCTCCTTCACAGCCTACTGACACCTGCTGCAAAAGAGTCTGGTTAACTGGCTTCCAAGCCCACCATTGAGATGAGAAGGTGGGAGAAAACAACCCTGGCAGCCTATGAAGGCTTTGGGGGGAAGAAATCAGCATTTCTACAGCATGTCGCAAAAATCTCATTGAAGTTATAAAGCTTTCATAACTTCAAAAGTGTAAGTGCTGCAAACTTAGAAAAAAAAATTTGAAAGAGTAATTATTTCCATTTTAAAATATTAATATGATTCTTATTAAACTTCAACAGAGCCACAGTCATGTGCTATACATCTCTCTAGTCACTTTCCAAACTTTGTAAAAACTTTTCCCTGCTGCTGCTCAGGGACTGAAAGGATTTAGAATCCTAGCCTTAAGATCTTTCAAACATTGAGGTTTTGATACATGTGACAGTTCTGATGTGACCCCACAAGAAACCATCTAATGGAGATAAATCAGATGACTGAGCTGGCCAAGGAAGAGGACCTCTTCCACCAAGTCACTGGTTTGCCATACATGCAATGTATGATGAAAGGGTGTCCCATTTTGTTACAGTGAAAATGTTAAATTCATTATGCAAAAGCCACAAAGTGAAACTAGTATAAAAAATTTAAGTAATCACACATTCAAGAAATGATGTTTTGGGGTAAGTTTGTAGCATTTATACTTCTGAATTTATGAAAGCTTAAAATTGTACTTTAAAGTTTTTAGAAGGCCTTTCCACACATTCTTTCACTTAAGCCTCACAACACCTCCTCCCCCGGTAATATAGGTGCTACAGTAGTATCATTCTGTTTTACAGATGAGGAAACTGAGGCTCAGAGAGGTTACGTATCTAACCCAGAGTCACACAGCTAGTAAATGTCCCTCACGGTATTAGAATTCAGGTCTCTCCTGACTCCAAGGCCAGCCTACCTAGAGGTAGCAAGTCTAGGAAGTTGTAGAAACCCAAGAACAAGGGGCTGTACATTTAGGGAGTAAAGCCAAGGGCAAGTGTTAGCCATGATCAAACCCCAATTATGGTACATGCCAGTTTGTTTAGTACACTTACAGAAACTTCAACTCAGCTCCAAGAATGAGACGAGCGAAAATAACACGAATTTTCATTTCCATAGCTTTTTCAGGTTTAATAAAATATTTGGCCCAACACCACCCTGCAAGATAGGTAGTACTATTAATATCTCCATTTTAGAGATAACAAAACTGGGATTCAGAAAAGGTTAAGTCTATTCCCCCAAGGTCTCACAACTAATAAAGCAGTAGAGCCAATGCTCAAAATCAAGTTGTAAGTTGGATTTACACAACCAGCGAAACACACCCTCAATAACATGGTCAGGAGATATTTCAATGTTTCAATGGGCATAATCCACCATCACCTCTGTCAGGCCAGAGGGGGAAAGTCACTGGGCCTGAGAGCACCCAACATAAGCAACAAGGGCAGGATGAGAATTCAGGTCTCTTGGCAGCACAGGAACAAAACCAGGAAGCAATTTTCGAGGAATCTCACACCTTACCCAACCCAAAGTCAAAGGCACCAATCTCCCTCCCTCCGGGTCCGTCTGGAATCAATACAGCTGCATCAACTGGCTTGGGAGCCTGGAGCCCTGCTGTCCAGTCCTAGTTCTGTCTAGAATTTCACAGGATGTGAAATAAGTAGAGAACATTAGGGTTTACATATCACATTCTAAGCAACCATCTTATAACGCAGGCAGCCCAAAAACTATCCCTATTTTACTAATGAGTAAACGCATACAGGAGCAAAGTAAAGCTTGGAGAGGTGGCAAGTCTTGCTTATGGTCAAATTCAGTTTAATGGCTCAATGTGTACTTACCAAGCACTTGCTATGTGCCAGTTACTTAGCTAAGCACTGGGATACAAAGACAAAATGTTTATGTTCTATTGGGGAGGGAGGGGCAGGAGGGGACATGACATTTAAAGAGCTAAGTTAGTACCTCACATGAGTGGAGCCATAAAAAAAGCCAGGGATGCCAAGATTCAAAGGTAAAGAAGGAATGTGTTCAAGGCAACAGGGACAGTGCATCTAAAGGCCATTTACAAGGAGGTAGAATGTTAGATTCAACAAACACCAGGTAGGCCAGTATGGCTAGAACTGAGGTGACTGATGATGGTAATTTAAAATACATAAATATATAAATATTATGTAATA